TGGAAACCGGTGGTTTTTGAGCCTCTGTGAGCTCTAAATCACTTGCAACTTCGACCAGCTGAGTGGAGGGTCCTTATAAAGGTACTATTGGAGTGGAGGAGGAAAATAGCCGCGATTGGGGTCTTACTTGAGGCACGTCATTGAGAATGAGCGGTTCTGAGCGGCTTGTCGGGACGGTTTCTTCAACGATCAGAGTGGTGTTTAGCCACAACGATCGGATGGCCTAGTGGATAGCGTGGAGGATTCTCAATCGGACAGTGAGGGTGGGGTTGATGGTTCGACTCCCCTCGGCGTGCGAGTTTTTGCATTTTTTATGTTTCGCTGTTTTCGCTTCTATAAATGTCTGTTTATGAATTTTAATCGGATTTCTACCATCTATAGGCACATTCTAAATAGTTATACCCCATAATTCGGTGTTATTGAACAATTCCACGATTTTCACATACCATTATGATGTGAGAGCTCTTACTCAGAAAGGTTGCAAAATCAGTGTCTCACTCATGTTATCATTGGACACCTGACCACGACTATGGCAGTCACTTTCACCCCACTGTTTAAGATGGCCCATTTATCCGGCATCTTGGAGGGTCCGAACTATTACTTTCTTTCAACTGGAGAGTCAGCTATGCTACAACCACCGTTTTGAGGTCGATTCAGGCGTCATAGTCCTGATCCCTAGATTGGAGATGAAAAAGTCGACCGCGATACAGAATAACAGTGATGTAGTAAAGTCGTACATCCAGGACCATCGATCTACCCCCTATAGGCAAATGAATTACCAAAAGATAAGCGATCCCCATGACTGCCTTAAACAGAAAGATTAACCATTACTCGTTACGGCACTGCTGCAATTTCCCCTCAAGTAATCGATTGAGTAATAGCAGAGTCATGTACATGGTAGAATAAGATGTACTGAATTAGACAAATCCTAATTGTGTCGAAGAGAGAATCGCAAAGTACACATGTGGCAAGTAAGCTCTACAGCTGTAACGTGCTATGCCTTCCCCTCACGTACGAGGTGTGATAGACAGATTTAAACGTTTGCGCGTGGGATTGCATGTATGGTGTGCACAACAAATTATTTGACGCCCAAGTCAATCCCAGATCTCCATATAGGCCCACAATCCTCGGCCAGAAACTTGGCAAATTTAGAGAAACTTGGGAATGATCACGCCAAAACACCCAAAACACTTCTGGCCTGAAATCATTCAATGACACATCGCCGATTGGCCGAGGGACACGAGTAATGGAGGAGGGCGATGGCGAGGGCAGAACACAGCGGAGAGTCAGCAGGAGCTGGACGAGTTTTCGGTCCGATCGATTCTACACTATAGCGACCTGACAACAGCGCTATTACTCTACTAACATCCTTATTTCTAACAACCAAAAGAATATTACTAGCAGGTATGATATTACATATAAATGCCTTACTTACAGAATGACTCATACGGGCTTAGCTGTTTCGAAATTTGTGATTTAAAAGTGGGAACGCCTCCATTTCACTTATTCTACTCAATTTTATAACCAGTCCTTTGCTTTGGATTCCCTTTTTACATGTGCACACGTAGGCCTCCAACGATATATTCAATTATTCTCCGTACCGTAATCGATCGATAGTATTCGTTATGCCTTCTATTTAGCTGTTTTTACGGTGCAACTAACTGATTTTAACCATAGAAAGGGTACGAGTTTGCTAGTCATGAGAATATACAATTGCGACCACCTCAGGACTTTCTAAATTCAGAAAAACAAGGAAAAACGGTTTCGAAGTCTGTATTTCCATAAAGCACGTCTGCATCGCCACGCTGTTACGAAATCCTGATGTGTTGCGTTCTGCACATCAGCCTATGCATTTCATTAATTTTTTAAAAACTTTCTACTCTAACCAACTCCATGTCGGTTCGTCAAAAAACTTTTGTTGGAGCACTTAGCCGATTTACCTTCGGATCAACGATTCCGTCGGTGCACCGAATATGTCGCGGTTAGTACAGCCATTTTTACTGCTTTTCTAATCTCTTTTTTCGCTAGTAAAAACTTTTACAACGTAAAAATCCTATTGAGCTGATTGATATGACATCATATGGCTTTTAACAAAGTTTAGTAGTCAACTTCTAAGAATTTCCCTTTGTTGCTAAGAGCCTGGGAGAACATTTTGCTTCAGGTGAGGGAAAGGGTCCCTGGGTGGTCTCCAGTACGTTCTCCCGTCGCGTAGCTTCTTTTTCCTCAAGCAAAAATCCACACCTCCTGAGTCACAATCGTTTCTGCACATCTTCAGCGCTGCATGCTGCCAAGCCTCAAAAATCTGGAAGGCTCGGTGGAGACTGTGTCCTTTACGAGACTCTGGTCTGATGATGGTTGTCTGCGCTCTAAGCCCTTCCGGAAAGAAAAAGAGAGGGGCGGCAGAGATTTTTCTCCCCCCCCCCCAAACGTTACATTTATGAGTAATGTGGCCGATGTGACCGAAAATGCTCCCACTGGCTTCTTCTAAAACGTTCAGCCTCTATTTAAAAATATAGACTCACTGCACAACAAAAAATAAAAAGAAATCATTTACAATTAATGTTAACAAAATAAATCAGTTAGAGGTTTGTATAAATGAGGTGGAATGTTTTATAATAAGATAAGAATTCTATTTCTTTCATTTATCCATAAATCTAATGCATGTAAGCCAGTATATTCAAGGCCATAATAAAGTGGCTAAGCAAGCTACCACAACGAAGGCAAATAATGATCACTAATTGGAACTAATACTAATCAATTAAACGACTGAGAGCGAAACCAATCAGTTAGATGGGCGCGGCCGACATGTTTGAAGATGGCTCGAGACATCTCCAAAATGCGGGTAAACTCGTCCACTTTGCTAACCAATTATCGATCTTCAATGAACATTACAAATCAAAAGAAGAGGTAATGGGTAGGTAAATTGTAATCTAATATCTACCCTTTCTCAACATCTTTTATTTGAGGAGGATAATAATGAAGAGTCTATTTGAGAAGGATATGAAGACAGTCAAGAGCGACAAACATTTCCAGTCAGCTAATTAGAGCTGTAGACAGGGTACAGCATGGGGATGTGTCAAATGGCGGTGTGGGTACGACCCCCCCCCTCCTCGAAGAGGGTCCAGATACGACCCCCCCCCTCCTGCTCTTAACTTGAGCACGACAGATGAATGTACACGACAAATGCTTTCACTGAAATGGAATCTGGATTTTCGAAAAGGCGGACTCTGCTTTTGAAATCCAGCAATAACAGTTTTTGTCTTAGGATTCAAAATAAAACTCCTCGTTCGATAACTATGTATGACATGCAACTTGTAAAAGAAACACAATTGAAATAGCGGCTAATGGTGATCATTGATAGGCTGAATTGGTGAAAAAAATAGCCCCAAGGTATGACGTGTCAGGGCCCAGATGTGCATTCAATGAATGGTGACGGGGAAATAATGAAATGCACGACACAACAAAGCGAAACATGGAAAATACAAAAAATGCAGAGCTAAATGAAAAAGGATAACCAGGCCGGCAGTAAATCGTTCCATACTTGGCTATTATCGATCAGGCTGCAGGGCGCAAGGCTGCGACCGCTTTCTTTGGAAAACGTCATTGGAGCGCGGTTGTTGGACTTGCCAACGTCCTGGGGTCTGTTCGGGGGGTTATATCTTTTTTAGGTGCGGAGCTTTTGAGGAATGGTGAGCAGCATGCAACGGCAAAGTATTGTGTATTCTACCTAGTTGCAAACTGAACAATCTCCGTTGGTGAAATATTCCGGATGGGTCAGGTTCGGTTGTACACGGGCATGACTGTCGCGAGGATGGTTTCCAATGATTCACACAAGGAGTGCTTCGTTCAGACTGTTTGTAGAGGTCGTTGGGGTACAAACCGCAATCTTCATCAGGATGAAGTCGTCTTTGATACGCTCCATAACTTTTTTTCTTTCCAATAAGCTTTACAGTTTTTTCTGAGACCCAATAGTTCAGCGAGAATACTTTTAGATGGGTTCACCAGATGGACCATCCTTCTATGCCCCCGAAAAATATGACTCTTATGTTGCCTAGTGATGGATACGCTTCGCAAACATTCAGTGTGCCTTCACAAACATATCTCTGCCCTGTCGAATAAGTGTGCATTACGCTCCTACGCAGAGGTTGTGGAAAGGTGTAAATTCTGATTTCAGGTGCTTTTCCATGCAAAGATGTTTGTTTAGGGTTTGGAAAGGACAGCTACGATACGAATCTGTTTGAGACGTATTATTTAGTCATCTACGTACTTACGAGTTCATGCTATAAACTGACATTTATTTATTTATTTATTCTTGCTATATTGCTAATAAATCTTTTATTATTTTGTATTCCTATTTACATCCGGGTCTTCTGAAGCTTTCCGTCCGTTCCATTTACAAGAAACCTTTGTGACGTTTGATGCCTGGGCGAGCCTGTTATTCGATAGCTCCGCGCCGGATTCCCGGTACGGCCAAGTAGGACCATTCTTGGGGATTTCCATGAAGAAGAGGGCTGTTAAACGTAGTCATTTGAAGCATGTAAACATACTCATGAAACTTCATTTTTTTTTAACATCTTGACTTCCATAGCTCCACTCCCACTATCAACTGAAATGTCGAACCATTGCTCGGCTCTGAGTGACCCTTGAGATTACGACCCCCCCCCCATGGGTTTGACGACACGCGATGCCTGTACGCCTGGCTTGTAGAAGGAGGGAAATATTGCCAAAGAAAGGTGTCTCTGATCTACAGAATCAATCAATAGTGATTAACACCAAAGGGTAATCGGCTTGCTCGTGGTGGAATTTTGCGACCTGCTAAGTCCTTTGGCCACTCACTTATCTCCTGGCTACTTTAATTCACCCTTGTAAAACTTTCCGCGAGGCTGATTCTTGTTGAAATGTGCAACGCGAATGTCAGCAAGTCTCTAATTTTGTTTGGATAGGTGGAGAACTGCGTTATGAACTAAAGTACGACAGTTTCAGTTCCGGACTTATCGACCATGTCAACGGCAGTTGTTCAGTCGCCTGGCCATGACGAATCTGATGATTCCCTCTATCCGATTGCCGTCCTCATTGACGAACTTCGGAATGAAGATGTCCATCTACGATTGAACAGCATTAGGAAGCTCTCAACAATAGCACTCGCACTCGGTGTCGAACGTACTCGTAATGAACTCATCCAGTTTCTAACAGGTTCGTTCGTTTTATATTTGGTAGGATCGTACAGAATACACTCTTAATTTTCGCTATGGAAAACGCCTTGGGAAAAAAGTAAGACTCACAGGCAGAGTCATGCACCGTTACGCTACGTTTCTCAGGTCAGGAGAGGTAACGTGAAAATTGTGCTATAGTTGGGAAAGGGAGCACGCGACAACTAGCCGTGCGAGTATCTCGGCGAAAGGGCGCAGACGAACTCTTTGGTCGCACCGCCGCGCCTAATTGTCATGGCGCCACCATATGTTGCTGCCGAAGTGTGACTATGCTGTAAAGACGCACCTTAGTTCTCATCTTGCCTGAACAGTAGAAACGAAATGCAGTCCTATACTTCACCTTCCTAAAAGTTAGCTAGTATGACTGTATGGCCGGTCTTAGGATGTCTGTCAACCGCGAATCCTTCCTCATCTTCCCTTTTTCCTTCCTCTTTCTTTTTTCTTTCTCTTCCTACCTCTTCTCTTTCCCGTTCCTTATTTCCCTTCCTCTAAGGACTTTACCAGAAGACGCAATAAGAATGCACCTCTAGACCCTCGCACAAAGAGAGCAACCGGTTGACTTATGCCTTGTAACCGAGGTATGCCATATCGCGACCTTCTGCCACCTCTCACTGAGGAAGTGGTCCCTTCCCAAGCGAAAGCCGAGTGCATATCGCTACTTTTGAGTTGCAGCGACCGTGGCGAAAGAGGTGCTGCAAAAGGAGTGATGCGCGCACCGTTCGCGTCAGGACCCAATCCACTCAATGTGGCAGCGCCGCGGACGGTCAGCTCTATCTTTTACGTTAACTAGCTAGTAAACGCTTTGCTAGTGCGTGCAATAGCGCATCTCGGCATTTTTTTGCTTTTTAAATGTTTTGTTCAGTTCCGATTGTATCCATGTTTCACTTTTTTCCAGGATACAATACTTACGAATGACAAGCCTGAAGTTCTAAACTAATCCGCTTGCCGATCAGCTCGGCAATTCACCCCACCTCGTGAGTTTTTCCTTAGTGTCTTGAAAACGCCTAACAGCCTATCTGCTACCAGCGGTTTCATTTGAGGCTGGTGGAACCCGACTTACTGTCCACCTGTTCTGTTGGGGCCACCCACTCCGAAAATCTGGCAACCCGTAGAAGAAACGGTTGTCCAGGCGACCCAACAGCGCTGTGAATTAGTTTGAACGGAAGATCGCGCTGACAAGCACGCAGCTACAGCTGCCTTAGAGGAGCTCACTTTATCCGCGCGGATGGCTAAACGGCGCCTAGCGACAGGTAAGCGCTAACTTCACATTATTCCCTTAGACACCTAATGCTTATGAGCTGTTTGACAGAAATGTTTCGCAACTGCTCAGCGCCCCCCGGATTTTTTTGGTTTTTTTTCCACGTCGCGCACATCAGCCGTGCGGGTCTTTTCAGGACGTTGCTTATCCACGAAGTTAGGCCCTGCCGCCATCAACGGCTGAGTCGAGAAGAGTTAAAAATCAGCTTGGCTTAATACGGTCCGAAAAAGCTTAAAATTGTACCCTGACTCCGAACTGTTGCTCTCAGTCTGTTACCGGTCAGATGTGTCGCTCGATGATACCCCAGATGGTTCGTGCGCCGCGCTGCTGCAAAACTCGGCGATTTCGCGAAGGTATAGAATTGTTGTAGTACTTATTAAAAAGACAATGAAATGGAAGCTATAATGTCGGCGCGAATATGGCCTGAGACGAGCGCGCCCCTGCCTTGCTAGCGCCGAACTGATCGCCATTTTTTTCCTCGCGCCTGATTCAGTACTCTAAAGGCGCCCACCACAGGACCAACGAGACTTCGCCCTTTCGTCCTCAAGCGGCAGGCACGATTGGGCGGACGTACAGTAACTGGCTCGCTGCGGATCGAAGCGGCGTCTCAGCGCGGCCGAGGGATTTGCACGCGGCGGCCAACACCAACTTTTCCCACGCAATGTCGCTAAGGCGAGTAAGGCGAGAAAATTGTCGATCAAACTCTGATACCGCACGCGCTATGACCTACGCATCATTGATATGTATTCGCGACTCGACTTGCGCTTCAGCAACTGGCGGAAAACTAATAATAAAATTGCATCTCCTAACGTTTTTTTACAACCCAAGCCTATAACCCGTGCGTTGAGCCCATGCTTTGTTCCCCCGCGCACGACCTGTGCCTTAGATAGTTCCTCTTCCTACCCTTTCCCATATATCAGTTCTTTGAGTTTTCTTGACGAAACCATGCCGGGGTTACTCCAAACTGACAATTTCAAATGTGGCTCGTTTCGGCAAGACAGCGCAGAGAAGCAGAGTCGTTCCCCAACGGTCATGTGACAACTCGAACTTTTTCGTATGGTCCTATTGTGAAACCCTGTAGCGCAGACAGCCAGAGGGGCAGCGGTTGTCAAAGCACCGCAAGAGGCAGAAAACATGTGTTGAGCTAGTGGGTGACCTTTTCCCAGTAGGGGGGGGGGTGAACTGCTACCATTCCTGAAAAGCGGGAATGTATGAGATCGCCGTAGTAATAGCACACCCTGCAGACGAGAGATTGCAAAGAAAAACAGAAAATCGACGCGATTAAAGGGATTGAGTTCAAATTGTCCGCAGACCTTCCCCAACTACTTTGGCGCCAGTAATTCTCTAATTTCGCCGTGTGAAGTTCTGTTCAATTTCCACTTTATCTCATTGACATTATTGATCATTACTGGTTTCAGGTATTTGAACGTGACTATCTCGTCGACGAACTGCACGCCATGTTCTGCGATTTAGCTGTAGATGAACAGGTTCGACTACGCTATAGAAGTTTATTCAAGATTGTCTCAAATTTCTTTTTTCTAGGATTCTGTCCGTCTACTTGCTGTCGAAGGATGTATCGCAATGGCAGGACTGTTGTCTGAAGAGAGCCGTCGTGATCTGGTTCGTCCAGTACTGATGGGCCTGATTGATGACAAGAGCTGGCGTGTACGATTCATGGTAGCGGAGAAACTAACGGAGGTACCCACAATCTAGCAGGACTAGGACTTTGACGGAGGGTTTAATTTGTTGACTGCATTCCTTTGTTGCAGATTCAAGAAGCTATTGGTGAAGACATGACAATGACTGAACTTGTTCCTGCATTCACTAATCTGCTCAAAGATCCCGAAGGAGAAGTCCGTGGTGCAGCAGCGCAGAAATTGAACAGTGCGTTGTCAGAACCATTCCTCGTTATTTTACCAAGGCACAAAGAAGTGAATTTTCAGCTTTCTGTGCAAATCTGAAGAAGAGCGCAAGAGAATCGGCTATACTCAACAATATTTTGCCGGTTGTGAAAGAATTGGTGACTGACCCGAATCAGGTGTGTTTTAGGAGACAGTTTCCGTTTTGTAGCGGAATTCTCAAGGTTTCTTTACCGAATGCTTTGGGTATTGTTGCAGCACGTGAAGACCGAGCTTGCTGGCGTGATTATGGGCTTAGCGCCGCTTGTGGGGAAAGAGAACACAATCTCACAGCTTCTACCAATTTACATGCAACTACTGAAAGACAGTACTGCAGAAGTCCGCCTGAACATCATCAGCAGCCTCGACAAGGTTAGTTTCGTAAACTGTAGTGCACAGAGGTGCCTGGTATTATGTGGATTCGTATTAGAACCATCCCCTGTTAGGTCAACGATGTTATCGGTGCATCGCAGCTTTCCCAGTCGCTTCTTCCAGCTATCGTTGAACTTGCTGAAGATGGAAAATGGCGCGTGAGGCTGGCCATAGTCCAATTTATGCCCCTTCTTGCTGCACAGCTCGTGAGTTTCCTATTTTTGTACCACAAATTTCCCGTAATTTCTCCTGTGTCGGTTCAGGGGCAAGCCTTTTTTGATGAGAAAATGCTCCCACTTTGTCTCAACTGGCTCTGTGACCATGGTGAGTGCTTAACTTGTCCTGCAAGCGGTACAGTTGCCAACGAATGTTCGTTGTAGTTTATGCAATACGTGAAGCTGCAACGGCAATCCTTACTGAACTTGCCGGAAAATTCGGTGGTGAATGGGCAACAAAGAACATTATGCCGAAAGTGCTCACCTTGTCCAAGGTGAATTTGCTGATTTCAAGCGATCGATGTTCATGAAAACCGTTGACATTGTTACAGGATCTCAACTACTTGCATCGTATGACCTGCCTGTTTTGTCTCAATTCACTTGCCGAAGCTGTAGGACCTGAACAAACAGCGAAAGAGATTATGCCTGTGATCAAGGAGGTTCTGAGTTTTTAGGAATCGCACTCTTTTCCACTGCTTAGAAGTACTTTTACCTGTTTTGAGCTCAGTGGAGATAATGTACCAAACGTGCGCTTCAATGTGGCCAAAGGACTAATGAAGATTGGAAAAGTGGTAGATTCGAGGTATGTCGAAACCTTAGTTTAACCTCACAATCCATTTGGAATGTGGCAGACGTGCTACGCCGTTTTGAATCTGATTCACCGAGCTATATATTCTTGTTCGCTGCGGATGATCTGGAGCTGGTGGAGAATGTTTTTGGTGGCGCGCCAAAGGTATCCGCGCGAACACGCCCCATCATCCGCAGCGAACCAGACCGTACTTCGATCCAAATTTTATCGTTTATTTCAGTCTACTCCAAAATGAAATCAAGCCAATCCTAATGAATTTATGCAACGATGCCGATTTTGACGTTCGGTACTTTGCCGAAGAAACAAAGAACGCCCTAGGATTACACTAGTTTTTTTTCTAATGTTTACGTTTCAGTCTGTCTTGTTTTGATGTTGATTATGTTCTACAATAATCCTACATTTGGCTAAAGACAGTTTGAATGTCTCGTCATTTCTTCATTGATATTCCATTTCATAAAATCACCGACGCGTTATGTCGTGGATTGGAAAAAGTGTTCGGCTATACGGAAAAGTCTTGATAATCACATCCCGTTGAGAACCTGATATTTCAATTTTCTACAGTCTCCGTTTTTACAATTATAATAGATTCTTGTAGATTGAACCTGTTTGAACCTTGCTAGTTTCTAGTGGGGTTAGGTTATTGATCGTGGATTGACCCACCCATAACTAGACTTTAATTTCTTTCAATTCTGGTACGGATTTTTGACTAAGTAGCGCTATCAACATATTGGATTTTTCGTCCTTAATAATAATTTGTACTTTATCATTTTGTTAACGTAGTTTTGTCACTGTTTCAGAATTGTATTGATTACAACTTTATATTGTAGTTGATACACATTTCATTCATGTTTCGCGAAATTGTATTTTATCGTACTTGCAAATAAACAGTGTGACTGTTATCAAGAAAGTTGTTCGAGTTTTGTTGGAGAAAATGGTATTCCGCTTGATTATTTTTGCACATGATTGGCGCTTTCTTCTGCGAGGAGGTGCAGTCTCGTTCGCTGCTGATGAGGGGCGTGTTAGCATAGCTTTGGCACGGTGCCAAGCCCGTTTTTTCAATACTTATTGAAGCAAGCAGCAAGACTGTATCATACCGTTCGTGTCAGTAGTTTCCAACCAGTTCTTGTCACTCCCCCTCTTCACCAAATGGTGGAAAGGGCTGACAGTGCGCCAAAAAACAGCCGAGCTGACACGGACAATCACGCAGCGGACAAGATTGTCGATCATTCATTCAGGTGTAAGGGATGGTTACCGCGGAACAGCCGAAGCAGAAAACCGAAAAGGAGTTGAAAAAGGAGGCCGAAAAGGCAGCAAAACTGGCAAAATTTGAAGAGAAACAAAGAAAACTTCAAGAAAAAGCTGCTGCCGCTACGGCAAAACCAAAAGAAGTAAGTTACTGGTAACGAATTCTGCCACTGAAGGCAGATTGAAACCTGGGCGCGCATCCTTCACAGTAATGCGACACACTCTGACAGTCTGTCAAATGTACATTACATATATTCACTAGCATATACTATAATTTGTCAGGAGTTTTGTAAAACTCCGGGAACCTGCTTCTTCAGCGCTCTTTGCCTAGGTTTCATGTCATTAGCTTTCTTTGGGAATAGCTATTAAATAGAAAAGAGAACAAAATCCAAGAGGAGTAGTTCCATTCGAACGACAGTAAACCTGGTTGCGCAATGTGTCCCTCAGATGGCCCTCAGAAAGATTATTAGCGCTGAAAAAGCGTTCTTGGCGCCGATCATGACCTATTTCACAGAATGGCTGAGAAAATATACTGCATAAATAATAAAAAACAATTTCAGGAGAAAGTGGCAAAGAAAAAGGTTGTTGCGGAAACTTGTCGGCCAAAACTAATTTTTGGAAAGAGCACTGGTGAAAAGAAAGGTTGTTATTGTGAACCAGCATCGCACCATGTAGTTAAGCAAAGGTTAGGTTTTACAGATGTAAGTGCCGGACTACTGAACGTATACGATCCGGGCTACGTTGAATCGGACTGGTATGCATGGTGGGAAAAGGAAGGCTTTTTCAAGCCGGAGTATGGTAGACAGAACCCGACGTAAGTTTCAGAAGCATCGACTCATAAATCATAGCAGCACTTTTTTCAAAATTTCCAAACTTTCGTCAGAATTTTTTTATTCGAATCGATTGTAGAAAGCCAAACCCGAAAGGAAGCTTCACTATTTGCATCCCACCACCGAATGTTACTGGTACACTTCATGTTGGTCATGCACTTGCCACGACCGTTGAAGACACTTTGACAAGATGGTCCGTTGTGTTTCATACTCCGCCCAGTGACAACTCCGTCCAGATATGGTAGTAATTCTTAGGCACCGGATGAAAGGGCGAACCACATTATTCAACCCGGGATGTGATCACGCAGGCATTGCCACGCAGGTAACCCAATTTCCGATTTTATATTCAACCAGTTTTCTGTCTGTATGCAAAAGGATTTCTCGAAACCTAGCCTTACAGGTAGTCGTGGAGAAGAAGTTACAACGAGAGCAGGGCTTGTCACGGCATGATCTCGGCCGAGACAATTTCATCCATGAAGTGTGGAAATGGAAGAACGAGTTAGTCATCATTGTATTTGAACTATTTCATAGATGAAACTCCTACTTTTCCAGGAAGGGTGGAGTGATCTACGATCAATTACGGAAGATGGGTGCTTCAGTAGATTGGGATCGTGCCTGTTTCATGATGGATCCGAAGATGGTTCGAGCAGTTACTGAAGCGTTTGTTCGTATGCACGAGAGTGGTACCATCTACCGATCAAATCGCCTCGTTAACTGGTCCTGTGCACTCCGAAGTGCCATATCCGATATTGAGGTAAGCAGTCAAATATTAATACGTTTTGGTAGCTGTTCGGTGGCCTAGCCCTTCCAATGTATTACTAGAGCTCTTCAGGTTGATAAGAAAGAGTTACCTGGCCGCACCCTCCTTCCAGTTCCTGGTTACGACGAGAAAGTGGAATTTGGAGTGCTAACCTCATTTGCTTACAAAATCAAAGGAGGAGGTTTGTTGCAGTCCTCATGAGTTAAGAGACACATTTCTACTGGCTCTGATTCAGATGAAGAAGTGGTTGTATCGACAACCCGTGTTGAAACTATGCTGGGCGATACCGCTGTTGCCGTTCATCCTGAAGACCCTCGCTATCAACATCCTTATTGGCAAGGTAGGCTTGGGTTTGATCATTTTGAACACTTCGCTTTTCCACGATGGAATGACGCAGTTGCAGACATGTGTTCATCCGTTTGTTGACCGGGAGCTGCCGATTGTCCCAGACACCTTCGTCGATCGTGAGTTTGGAACAGGTGCCGTAAAAATCACGCCAGCCCATGACCACAACGACTATGAAGTAAGTCTGCTCGAAATTTCTAGACAGTAGCACTGCTGTGATGAGTTTTAAGGTTGGAATTCGTCACAAACTTCCTTTCATCACCTGTATCAACGATGATGGCATTATTTCTGCGGGTTGCGGGAAATTCTCTGGCATGCGCCGCTTCGACGCGAGAAAAGCTGTCACCGAAGCACTGAAAGAGCTCAATCTTTACAGAGGATCGGAAGATAACGCTATGGTTGTCCCAGTATGTAGGTGTGTTGACAGAGGTTTTTTCTAGATTTGAGGGAGCTCTTCCCTTTTTCTTCTTTCTGTATTCGAGAGCCTTTGGATAAGGAAATTGTTGGCTTGCCGATGTTCCAATGAGATTTTTAGTGTTTCAGCCGCTCCAAGGACATTATTGAGCCCCTTCTCAAAGCTCAATGGTATGTAAAATGTGACGAGATGGCTAGAAAAGCTATAGAAGCAGTCGAAAGCGGAGAACTAAAAATTATTCCTGATTATCATGTCGCCACTTGGAATCGTTGGCTCCAAGGCAGTAGGTCTGTTTGTTTCTATGTATCTATGCAACACCTCCCCTGAATAAGACATTGATTCAGGGATTGGTGCATTTCTCGCCAGCTATGGTGGGGACATCGTATTCCTGCTTATTTCGTTACAGTAACAGATGGCAAGGTTCGCTTCGTTCCTTTTGTCATTGCATTTAGTTGGCGTGATCCATTTCACTCAGACTCCAGCCGGTGACCCTTGCGATGATCACTACTGGGTGTCAGCTCACTCTGAGCAGTCGGCGCTGGAGAAGGCAGCGAAGAAGTTCAACGTCGATCCGAAGTTCATCCAGCTTAAATGGGGTAGGCAGGCGTAAGGATGACGCACATTCCATTTCCTACGCTTTTTTCTTCAGATGAAGATGTCTTGGACACGTGGTTCTCGTCGGGTATGTGGCCGTTTGCCATCATGGGCTGGCCGGAGAACACCACCGACATGCAGCTTTACTTCCCCTCGAATGTTCTCGAGACTGGTGAGTGGCTTGCTTCTCTCTAAAGATGGATTCTGACAACTACTGTAGAGAATTTTGATTCCAGGTCATGACATCCTATTCTTTTGGGTAGCACGAATGGTATTCATGAGCCAAGAGTTAACGGGAAAACTTCCCTTCAAAGAGGTGGGACCCATCTTTTACAGCCATGGCCCTGCGACGTTCACTACCTCTTTAGGTATACCTACACGCTATGATTCGGGATGCTCACGGGCGCAAGATGTCGAAATCGCTTGGCAACGTCATCGACCCTCTCGATGTGATAAGGTACAATACTGTGATCTCAGTTACTACTCTACTCTCATTACTGGAATCTTTTTAGAGGAGTCACACTGGCTGAATTGAATCGCCAGTTGACCACAGGCAATTTGGACGCAAAAGAACTTGCTATCGCCCAGGCTGGCCAAGCTAGAGATTATCCTAAGGTGAATAGGTCCTGTCCATACGACTTGGTTTATGGGGGCTTTATCCGGGACTTTCAGGGTATCCCAGAATGTGGTACAGATGCGCTGCGGTTTGCTCTGTTGGCCTACACGAGTCAAGGCAGAGACATCAATCTCGATGTTCTTCGTGTCCAAGGGTACCGCTTCTTCTGCAATAAAGTGAGACAAAGCAAATCTTCCGTCCATTGTTTGGCGGATCACTGTTGAATTTCAATTTGTTCTTTCAGATATGGCAAGCTGTGAGATTCACCTTGATGCAACTAGGCAGCGATTACCATGCTGAACCATTCAAGGTTAATTGTGTAAGGGTCAAGTCAACTGTCCTGTGATTCACACCTCCTTATTGCAGCCCAGTGGCAAAGAATCCATCATGGACTTGTGGATTCTATCGCGTGCCGCTTATGCCGTCAACCGCTGCAATGCAGGCATGGAGGCGTACAACTTCACTCAGGTCCGTTCTCAGTTCAAACATCTTTCTGATAATTAAACAATTTCTGCTCTTCTGTTTGTAGACAGTTTCTGAGAACTAGTCTTATCCTTTGCTGATTCAGGTCACGACCACCCTATACGACTTCTGGCTGTACGATCTCTGCGATATCTATTTGGAAGCAGTGAAACCAGTAATAGCTTCAGGTATTTATCATTCAAACTAACATAGCCAAACAGACCTGTCCGTATTTTGATTTCCAGGAACTGAGGAGGCACGCATAACTGCTAAAGCAACATTGTACAATTGCGTTGAGACAGGTCTAAGACTGATCAGTCCTATTATGCCATTCTTGTCTGAGGAGCTCTGGCAACACCTGCCCCGCCGTCCATCGCAGCCACCATCAATAATTGTCCATGCATATCCCGAAGTTTCAGAGGTAAAAACTTTACTACACTTTCTGAAAACGTGGATATTGACGAAGTTTGCAGTTTCCATTCAACAACGAGAAGATCGAAGCTGATGTCTCGTTTGCGATGAGCGTTATTAGAACAGTTCGATCTCTTCGTTCCGACTACGAGTTGACGAACAAAACAAAAACTGATCGTGAGTAGTTTCTTCTAGTTGTACTGCTGTATTACTGGATAAATGTCACGTTCAGTTTACGCCTCCGTAAGCTCTGAGGAAGACTACAAGTGCTTGACATCATTGATTCCTTTGATCGAAACACTTGCCGCCAGCAATAAGGTTCGCGTTGATAGTTTCAAGTGTGAAGGAATGCATCGGTAGTAGTAATACTTGTTCAGGTTGAAGTCCTCTCCAATGTCGGTTCGAATGGCATACCTCCTGGATGTGCTCATGTGACGATATCGTCAAGATGTACCGTTTATGTTGCTTTACAAGTTAGTGTTCCCTTTGTTACAAGTCCTGTGCAGTCCAATTCAAACATTAGCCCAGCGTTTTGCTTGGTATCACGTCACCTTTAAAGGGTATCATCAACATCGAACGAGAACTGACCAAGTTAGCCAGCAAGAAGGAGAAAATCGAGGCACAGATTGTGAAACTTGTGGAACAAGAGAGTCGGGCTGACTATGAGGCGAAAGGTTCCGTTACCAGTTCGCATATCGAATACAGAGAAGGTATGAACACATTCACAGTATGCACCAAATAAATGTTTTTTTCCGAGGTTAGTCAGAGAATGGTATCATTAGAGGTGGTATCTTTCCAGAAAGAAGCACTGCTCACTGAAATCTGCAGTATCCAGACCGCCATGGCTGCACTGCGGAGTTAGGGATTAGGGAGTGGGAATCCACGTATGAACAATCAGTGAATCTACGTCATGTTTTTGTTGAGCCCTTGTTGTTGATATCATCTGCGATAGCTTTTCTGGTTATGGTTTATTTGTTATATTCTGTTCTGTTTCTAATACTCTAGGGTCCCATTGAAATAAAGTGTCTTGTTGAGAAATTCGACTTTGTTCAAGTGTTCTAGGGAGCTTAATCTATTCCAACGCTTCCTGCGTTTAGGCCACTGGGCCACAACTTCAGGCGCCGAACATAGGAAAAAGCCTAGCAAGAAGGAGAAAATCGAGGCACAGATCGCGAAACTTGTGGAACAAGAGAGTCGGGTTGACTATGAGGCAAAGGTTCCGTTACCAGTTCGCATAACCAACACGAAAAAGGTGAACTCACTCAGGTTATAATGGATGGTTTTTTGATAGTAAGTCACAGAATAACTTCATTTCAGAAGGAAGTCTTGCTCACTGAAATCCGTAGTATTGTAACGGCAATGACAGCAATACGGAGCTAGATACGACCACGTGAGATGAAAACCTGGAGAAAGATCTAACCTCAAGAATTAACATGTATACCTAATACTACTGACTTCAACTTTTTGACCCATACCAACGTGTCATTGCTGCTTAAAGAGGTGTTACTGTTGCTTAAAGACTGTTTATGGTTATTGTTTAGGCGCTGCTGTGGTCGGGAGATGAGAGAGAGGAGGGCACTTGGCGACATAAACCGCGCGGACGGACTCTTGCCGTCTGCACTGGTTGAGACTGAGCCTGTGGAGACTATCACTACCTCATGAGAGGGCACAGAGAAACGCATCCAGTGGGGCCGCCGCGTGACATCCTCTCCACTTACAGCAACGCCAGTGGTTACGTTTTGTTAGGCAGCGTTCAGAATTCGCGACGGCAGCGCCTCGGTCGCGCGTTCGGCGCTGCCGTCGCGAAGTCTGAACGCTGCCTAACGATGGTGGATGATACTTACTCTTAATATACCCGATGTTGTAAAATTTGATGAACAAGAAGGAAAAGATGACACTTCTGCGCAGGATATCTGCAGTCCTGTTTGCTGGGATGCATGGACATGCCAGGGGCTAGGTTGGCACAGCGCCAGCCCGCTCTCGCCAATCGCTGATGCGGGTAAGCGACAAAAACTGGTTTGGAAAGGGCTGGTGCCAGACCCAGGACGCCCTTTCCCTGCCCTGCTCTCGCAGAGATCAAGACGGTATTGCGATCAAGACGGTCTTTGAGAGTTTTTGAAAGGATGAGGATGGGTGCCGCAAATGACAAATGAATCTTCGACATGCCACTGCTTCAGCGCAATTCGTACGACCCAACGATAACCGCCACTGACGTGGTAGGCGCCCATCTCTACAAGCGCCTCGCCCATACTAAATCGGGTTTGAGAAAATTGTGCAGTTTTGAAGTGAATATGCTGAATGTTGGGCTTTCGTGCCACACGGCTTCTTGATGAGGTGTCGAATGTGGGGCGTAGGGCCCGACATAATTGGACATATTCTTGGTATGGAGAGGCTGCGCGGATTCACGTCTGTGCCCTCTTACCTCATAGTGTTTAACTGTTGCAATTCACGTGGCCTCCAAACAGCTGCGGAACTTCTTGAATGGAGTCACCCATGGATAGCTACCTGGAGACCAGTACTCTTGATCTGCAAGACCTCCAACATCGAGCAGCTCCGACAACGTCGCTACGGTCCAGGATATCATCTTCACCGCAGTCGCCAAGGCGCGGGTTGTGGTATGGACCGGAAGTTCCTGGAATGTGAAGACCGATCGGCTTGTGAACGCTGACGGTTACATCGACCAACTCGTGGAGAATATCCTGCCTTCATGTCATCGCCTGTACCTTCTTGGAAACTTCGTACTGCTACAGGATTGGGTGCCTCCACACGGAATCGAAGGGCGTTGGAAAAACTTTGCCTACTTGGAATGGAAGGGCGTTGAGTACCTGAAGAAGACGGAATATCCAAGTGTGTCACCTGACCTAAACCCCCTCAATTACCCGGTTCGGGCGGAGCTCAACAGGGTGGTCTACAGTGGCGGAGAAATCAACGATCTCGCTGAACTCAGGTACACTCGAGATCCCTGAGATCGGGTAGGCGTGGCCGCATGTTTCAACTTACCCTTAAGGCTTCTACGCTTCTGATGCCATATTTTCATCTCGACACAATTGTTGTCGTGTCTCTGTCCAACGCAGAACAAGATGACAGTTGTCCCAGACTGGAATATTCCACTAGTAACCAGTTCCGTACAGTGTTCGAATGCCCCGCCTACCCGATCTCAGGGATTTCGAGTATACCTAATCACGCGCGTGGCAGAATCTCTCGATGGCGCTCGTCCAGAAGGCTATGGCGGAGCATCATGATAGTATATAGTG